ACCACTGGGAGTCAATACCCAGTCTGGCCACAATGTAAAGAAAAATAGAAAAGATGGCGTCAGATCCACAGGGCGGTAACAACATACACAGGTACTCAGCTGCTCTGGTTTATCCACCTGTGTCTCTGTTTGTGTGAACTTGCTTGTAACCCCTGTCCAGTCCTTCCCCTCCACACTCAGCAGAAGATGTCATGCTCGTCTCTTGCCCATTGGCACATAGGACACCTGCTTGTTGGCATGGTGACATGTGAGCCTCTGGGACGAGCAAAGGGGCATCTGTTCAGCAGACAGAGGGCTGAACGTGTTGCCCTTAGCAACAGGCTTCGGAGCAGGCCCTGGCATCTGCACATATATTGGGAGAACGAGAAAGGTTTTTCTATCTATCTATCTATCTGTCTGTCTGTCTGTCTGTCTGTCTGTCTGTCTGTCTGTCTATCTATGTATGTATCTATCTCATGGTTTTCTCATAACCACAGTTAAAACATATGATCAGATTACAGTAAGGAATGTTGAATGTTGGATTATCTGGACCACATCTGTATTCTTAAACGAGCATGTATTCTACTCTGACCTTTATACAACTTTTCTTGCCTTATTCTTATTAAGTTTGAACTCTTCCTTCCTGTCTTTCCATCTGTTCCCTCTGCATTTCCTGTTGCTCATCATGACTTGATTTAGCAGAATTTAACTTTGCACAACGTATTATAGAATTATTATTTATTTCATTTTCTTCTTTGGATTTGCACATGAATCTTGTTCAGGTGGATCTTCAAACCGAAATACAGATTGGAATTAATATTTGATATCTTACATCATGAGCATGTTTCCATTGATCTCTTTCAAATTTTTTCAAACCAGTACATTGTGAATAAACAAGCTGCTTCATTTCTAATAATGATTTGAATGTCATTCTCCATTGCAGCATATCAACTTATTGGTTTAATATACACATGCGTATGATCACATTCAGTTCATATGATGGCATCTCCTCTGGTTCGAATGGTGTTAAAGTCCATCAGAATATGAATAAATATTTATTCCAGCTGTCAGGTTTAAAGTTGCGTCACCTTCTCCTTTTCTTAACCTTCACTGCCTCTATATGCTTCAGCAGCATTTTACTCTCATTTCAGTCCCTGTGAATACATTTTCTCACTGTGAGTTTCATATCTTTTTTTTGTATTATGTGCCACGATGATGGATTGTCCTGATTCTAGATCCAAAGAATTGACAAAACAGAATGGGTGAAGAAGCATTAAAACATTGTCGTTTGGTGGCGTTTGTCCAGCTTCACACACGCAGGACAATAAATCTTCTGAATGCATATTTAACACTGAATCAATGTACGCTGCAGCCTGAAGGTTAACCTGCTTCTTTTGTTCAGATTTGTTATTTAAATGCTGCTTGACATGGCAGCAGTGTATTCACAGCACTTGTGCTTGCAATTTTGCAATATGAAGATCTGAATTGAGAATTACCAAATTACTTACTTTCAACCTGCAGAACCCACATGGGACACCTCCACCTGACCGTGCAGCTCCAAAAACAAAAAGCTTCACCACCAAAATGCTTTGATACGGTTTTGATGCGTCTTCACTCTGCACACCAAGCGCTCTTCATTAATGAACACTTAGGTAAATCATAGAAGCAATATTCTACTACTGATTTCTCTTCTGTTTTTTAGACTGGCCACAGGAAGATAAACATGAACATCAGTTTTGCACTTTGAAACGAAGGAACTGCTCAACAAGCACCAAAGAGTCATTATCTTGGGATTAAGAGCCCCTGCTTTGTTAACAAGGTGCTGCATGGCTACAAATCAGAGCTGCTAATGACTTAAAGAGCATATCAGCTATGGCTGGGTTGCTTAACAGCAGAGCAGAGCAGCGCTTTGAGTTTCAACTTTAATTAGGGATTGGCTAAAACACAGCTCCCTGTGGTCCCGACACATTACCAATACTCCCGCACTCGGGTCTATTAGTGTTTAAAACTGCTCCGCGAGGACCGCAGGTTATCCCACAGCTGCCCAATAATAAATCTTTAAGAGTTAATGTATCTTAAATATTCTGTTGACATTGTCTGTGCACATGTCAGAGGAGGAGTGTAATGTATTTCCTACACTCTGCATTCAGCGTATGTATTGACCGAGTTTTGTGTGGAGGTCACAAGTTCACCTTCGTTCCTGAGCAGACATTCATATTCTTACATGAGGAAGGAAAACAGCCACAGCCTCTCTCAATCAAGCCCTGATCAAGCACAAAGGCACATCCGACTCTAAATAATACATGACTCATCTTCCCATACACACTCCCCCACCGGGAGACTAAAGAAGAGAGAGCAGGTTCAAACATCCCTCCTCATCTTCAAATGTCCATGCCTTCATCTTAGCTGCTGCCAGATTCTCTGACACAGTTTTGTTCTGGAGAGGGAGACACCGTTAGTTTGAGAGCACGATTGTCCTTGTCCTCAAAGACGCTTTTTGACTGGTAGACCTCTCTGATTCAATGAGAGTACTGACGATGTGCAACCTAGACTAACCAACTAACTAAGTGTTGAAGCATGTTTTGATAATTCTGCGGGACCTAGTTTCTGTACATTTTTGGCTTATTATTTATCTACCTGCAGGGATAATACTTTTTTTTTTTCAAAATAACTGAGACATCTGTTATCATTCAAAAAGTTTATTTGATTTTTCAAGACAATGGTGCTATTGTTTTGTGTGTTTCCCATTTGTCTGAAACAATAGCAGCAAATTCTGCATTCATGCAATTCCAGCAAATATAAAAAAACACAAAGAGAATGAAACAAAGCAAGTTTTGAAGATGTGTGCATGCTGCTTCACAAATCTTTAGGTGAACTGGTTTTATTTTTTATAGTAATTAATATTTCATGTTCCTACCATTTCAATCTCGAAGCCCAAAGGCTATTACCTGACAAGAAATAAGCCTCTAGGGGCAATGGCTGATATTTTAGGAAATCTAGTGTAGACAGCAGATATCCGGGCCAAAGCTCTTGTTTGTCGTATACCGTTGAATGTTTCAACTTCAACTTTGTTAGATCAACTTTGTGAAATCAAATAATTTCACATTTATCTCTTCAGTGCTGCAGTAGATGGTAATTTATCTTCGAATGTGGGTTGTGAAGCTCAGGGACATGTTTTAATTTTTGAAGTTGCTGACTGAGTCACAGAAGATAGTGGAACAGACTTTAACCCAAAGGTGGTGTCAGGTCACTACCATTGTGTGAGTCTTTTATTCAAAGCTATTAGATGATGTTGCTGAACCCTGAAGGTAAAACTTAGACTTAGTGGTGAATAATTATCACAACTTGTTCAGTAGAGTGATTTTGCAAAGAATGCAGAAATGCTAATTGAGGTCCACGTTAACTTTTCTTGTCCGAATCGTGGTCATTTGATTACAACAAAAATAATATTCCCTTCTCTTTGACTGGGAGCGCAGACACGGGAGCAGAAGGCGGGCGGCTCAGTGCTGCTGCTCTTTGGCTGGTGATAAAGATTCAGCCTGTTCCTTTAGCTCCATGTGTAGTCATGTGTATAATTGCTCTGGGACTGGAAATGCACCATGTGTGAATATAAAGGAAGGACCATCTAATAGGAGACACTGTTCAAACAACATAGCTTTGGTTTGTCTGAATGTCCCATGTCACAGAGAAGCTGCAGAGGATGGAGGAGGGTTCAGGAGACAGCAACATCCAGTGGACTGAGAGCTGGGAGCAAAGAGGGAATAACAGGAAACAAGATGAAAAGTGACAGAAGGCTGCTAATCGCCACAGATTGTAAAAAAAAAACAGACAACACCAACAATAGAGCGGGATTAATATTACAGGGGCAGGTGGGAAATATAAAGTTCACTTTGTCCCCTCTGTAATTGAACTCATTACCTCCACAATGGAGGTTATGTTATAGTCTGCGTTTATTTGTCAGTTAGCAGGATTACGCAAAAAAAAACTCAAGGGGTGACACGTAAAATGTTTGGTGCAGATCCAGATCAGAGGATGGATACAGGATTTTCCCCCTTTTTTAACAACCTTGATTTCGGGAATAATTCATGGATCTTGATGAAAAAGAGATGATTTTGAGTATGTGTGATTTGGTGCAACAATTCCAGATCGAGTGAATTTTAAAGTAGTTTCTTTAGGAGACTGTTGGGCCTTGGCAGATGTGTGCGCTCCACTGAGTGCCATTCTAGTTTTGTTTATGGGACATTACATCATAGACAAGACAAAAGAGAATATCAGTACACATATGTAGCTGAGAATAGAACAGCACTAGCAAGGCTTTAATTTTTATGATCATCATATTGGTTTTCAAGTAGGCCTAAATGTTGATGTTCATGTGATGGATGATTTTTATTAGGAATCTGTAACAATTATTAAAATCAGTCACTGGGAGAAGATGCAATTAAAAACCTAACCACCTTTCCATTTTTGATCTTTTTACACAATATGTGTTGTAATCTGAGGTCCTCAGTGAAGACTCCGCTCGCCATTATACTGCTCCGGCTGAGGACTAAAGGTGACGAGACCTTTTCTGTCAGGACCCCCTACCTGTGGAGATCCGTCTGACGAGTCCTGATTTCATTTAAATCTCTCTTAAAGACATTTTTATCGGTGTGGGCTCTCCTTGATCTTGCCGTGTTTTTATTCATTTTGTATTTACCTTGGTTTTACTCTTTTCTCATCAATTATATATTTTTATTTCTGTATTTGTGCTCTATTGGTGTGTGATCTTGCTTTTAAAAAGTTTCTTCTTTGGAAAGTTTCCTAATGTTTGCCTTCAATTTTTCATCTTTAACTAGTAAAGCACCTTGTCACTGTTTTGAAAGGTTTCTTGATATTGTTATTATCATCATTATTATTAAGTAAAATGTCTCATAAAAACGAAGTGTCTTATCAAAAAGTTACCTGTGCTCTGTGATCTACCTGTTCAGCCTTTGCTCGTGATTGATTAGTGATGCCTGCAGAGTCCGGAAGGGGAGCTGTCGGCCGCGATGCTTGATTCTCGGTGAAGCGACCACAGAAGAAGCATCGCACAGGTACGTTGAGAGCATGTTAGCTCTTAAACGTTTAGAAGTATTCGCTATGTTCTGTTATGGGTGTTTTATTAACTTACACACTGAGTGTTGAGTTTGTCTTGGAGTACCATTTTGCTCTGTCATTCGTTAATTAGCATTTTTAAGCAGCTAGCTAAAACTTCTCCCTCAGTAGCTGACATGAGGTTAGCTTGACTGCAACACCTGTATTTCCATGTGTTTAGCTCAGTAAGAGACACATATGAGGTATTAGGCTTTAGCTGTTTGTGTGTGTGTGTGTGTGTGTGTGTGTGTGTGTGTGTGTGTGTGATTAGCCACTGATGCATCTGTGTGGTCATTTCTTATTTAAGCAGCAAGTAACAGTGTAACAGTGCTGCAGGAACTTTTCTTGGTGAAAATCTTCATTAAGACCATTTTTCCTGTGTTGGGAACACAGCTGAGAGAATTGAGTTTCTTAAAATGTTCCTTAAACTACACATAACCAAAATTAGTGGGTGCTCTGATGACTTTATATCATTAGACTTAGCTTAGACGCAGAATCCTGTGCCCTGACGTGCACCTCCCCAAAAATGTAACTACGTGTCGAGGCAACAAAGAGCTGTGATTGCTCAGCTTGGTAGCATCGCATTCCAGGCACACTCGCAGCTATTATTTTTTATTTATTTGAAGGAAGAAACACAGATAACTTTCTTTTCTCTGTTGCAGTTCTTTAAGAAAAAGTAATTGCTCTTCAACACCTATCAGCTCCAACACGATCCGCTTAGTAACACTCGCTGTTGCTCAAAAGTAAACAGAGATGCCTAAGAATTAATATAAATTATCCAGAAACCGGTAGACAGTCAACACAAGCATAGAAACTGTACCACCACTAGCGGTTTGTTTGTTTAATTGCACCGTGCCTAGCACACATACGCACAGCTATGAATACTCAACCCTGTGCGTAGGCTACGTGCTTATTTGCGGCGTATGTGTTTTTATATTATACCCCAATAACACAAGTCCATACTACGTTCACTACATGTACATTGTATCCCATGTCTCTATCATGGGGTGTCTTCCAAATATGGCATATTTTAGAAACAGTTCAATGTGAACTAGCTTGGTTCATGAGGAGCTGGACTCAATGTATGGCAATATACGGCTCCTCACATTCAGATTTTTCTCAGTGTGAAGAGCTGCTGCTGTGTCTGGAGCAACACTGATGAGTGTGTTAGACTGAATGAAAAAGTTGTGGGCTGTAAAACCAAATCAATTAGCTCCAAGAAGAGGGAGGAGTGACTAAGGATGTGTACTTGAGTGACCGGGCTTAAATGCAAATGTCTTATCGATCCATTGACCGAGGCAAGCAGAGACCCTGCTTTTATTGATCAGCTCACGGCCAAGGGCAGAATGAGGCTGACAACTCAGACAGTGACCTCTGCCACCTTGACCTTGGCCTAAAGCCAGAAAGATGCCCTTTAACCTTCATCACGTGACCTCTGGCACTCAGGGGCCCCCAGATGTGACCTGAGCACAGTTTTAGTGTCCTGGCTGCACTCCCTCAATCCCAGACTGACTAACCTAAAGCGAAGGAGCATCTCCAGAGAGCTCAAGAGGAAGATGGAGTGAATGCAGCTCCACCTGTGTCTGTATGTGTATGTGGAGAGAGAGCAAAAGAGAAAAGGGACAAAGTACAATTTTTCTGTACACTTAAGAAGCACTTGTAAGCTTACTGGCAGCTCTGTTGTATTGATCAGCTAATTTAATTATTTGATCCTGCATTAAACACACATACAGACAGGGACGTGATGGATCACAGCATCAGAAAGCTTTTACTTTCTTTGTGTTGATAAACCACGGAGGACAACTTCTCAAAAACCTGATTATTGACCTTAATTCAATGTTATTTCTTCACTGTAAAAGGGTTTTTCTTGGGGAGAGTTTTGCTTTGTCCGGACTGAGAGTTAAACCTCAAGGTTGTAAGCTGTACAGATGTCTCTTGAGGCAAATTAGGAATATAAAAATGACATGTTCAAATATGCAAACAATCAGATCATCACCAGTCAAAGTAAAGGGCAAGATCTTTAAAAGCATTTTTTATTTATGGAACAGTGTCAAATAAACTTTTCCGATGTCTTACTGGTTCTTTTAGATCAAATGAATGAACTAGAATGGCACTCAGTAAAGGAAACACCTACACCAAGGGCCCTTTTGAAACCACATATAAACTCACTACATTCAGATCTTGTTGAATCTTGCAATGTTACTTAAGTGGAAAAAATGCGTGTGTGTGGGAGGTCTCGCCGGTTGTGTGTGGGGTTATCGATCACTATACCACCACCCATCTTGTCCAATCGCAGTGAACACCCGAGCCTCTCATGAATCAGTAATGACTCTAACAGTGGATGGAAAGAATACACGATAGCCAGATTATAAAATAACATGTATTTCTGTTGGTGAAATTATACTCTTTGATTATGCTAAGGCTCTCTGCATGTGGTGTAAGTCAATAATCACTAAAGCAATTAACTCTACTGATCTTTTCAGTAACACCTGCAGCGGGGGGCTCAATCACATGTTTTTTCCAGAGCAAAACCAGGAACAATTTCAATACTGCTAATTGTCTTGTTATGTGGTCTTTTTACTGTAAATCCACGGCCTCGTCCCATCTCCAGTCGCTCCAGTATTGTGTGCCTCTTGCCTTTATCAATCTGCTGCAGCCTGGAACAAAGACCTTCGTGTTCAAACAGCAATTACTCTCTCATCTTCAAGAGGCATCAGCACAGGCATAATTGGATTTAAATGAACCCCCAATTTTCCCTTTGTTTCAGCAAATAATATGCGCAGCTTTTTAATTAAGATCCGATACAAGCCTGATGTGTGGAGGGTCCGGAGTTGCTTTCATGTCCTGCTCTACAAGTACAGGTTTGGGCCTGCGTGGTGGACAGCAGCGTTTGCCTCAGTGGGACATTGTGTGTGTGTGTGGTGGGGGGTGCTGTCTAAGAGAAGTGGATCAGTTAATTAGAGCAGCTTTAATGTGATTGATCAACTTCTTTCAAAAATCTAAGGCTGCAAGAGGTTATTGTCTTTTATCATATATCAATCAATTTTTACTATTGTTAGCCTCTGTTGCTCTTTCTGGGGTTTCTTCCTTTTGCCTCTGTTAAAGGCCATATATGCTTTTTTATTACCTCCACCGAGGCAACCCCAATGAGGATTTGGTGGCTTGTTTGTCAGCAGGATTACACAAAAACTACTGAACGGATTTCCATGAAACTTGGTGGAAGGATAGGAATTGGGCCGAGAAAGAACTCATCCAGACAAATGGGCAGATTTTGACATTTTCATCAATTTCCCAAGGAATAATTCCTGGGTCCTGAAGAAAAAAACTATTTACTGTGGTAACTGTATCTCTTCTTCCTTAGGAATAGTTGAAAAAGTGTTCACTCCCAACAGCCTTTGTAACATGTGTTAAACAGATGCTCGAGCATTGAAAAGAATATTGTGCCTTTGGCATAGGTGGTACAGACAGAGGGAAATGTGCTGAGTCTGGAAGCAGAGGTGTCAACCTTTAAACTTGGACTCTACAATGACAGTTCCGATCGTTCGACTTCAGCTGGCAAACGTTCCCTCAATGGCTTTGTATAGTTTGATTGACTAATTGATTGATCTGCCGCTCGCGTAGAGTACGCAGGAAGTCATCAGTCAGCCATGAATCATTCAACCTTTGACTCCATTTCTTTGAGTCACCTTTTGCTGATCACTTAAAATTCAGGAGCAGACAAATGATGCACTAAATTTCAAATTATACTTGGGATTTTTCTTTTGATATTATTATTGCATTTTCTCCAGTTTGTCTGTAAAAGTTAAATGCTGTTTATAAAGCCAAACAAGGTCCACTATAGTATTAAGTTTAAAGTATGTATTGAATTTTCCTGTGCTTCAGGGAATTAGCAGAAGAAATAATGGTGGATGATTGAAGAGAAGGGAAATCATCTTTTCATTTGCTGATAGCAGAACCTTCTTTTTCTGTCACTTCGCTTGCAGTTAGGTCATTTCCATTACTGCGACTGAGACTTTGAAAGATAATTAGAAAGTGCCGAATCGAATATGTGTTCACACTCCTCTTCTAATATGTAATTTTCTTTTTTGAGAAGGAGGAGGAAATATTAAGTTCAGCTAGGAAGATGTTAGCCTGACTGCACATGTTAAGCAGTGTCAAAATTTGCTGTTTTATATCATGGGGATGTTTATTCGTATTCAAAGGTCAAAACTCCATTAATGTAATGGATTTTAAGAGCAAACACAATATCAAGTACCATCAAATACCATCCTTGTGTGTATATAATTGCGAGTGGTGAAGAGGATGGAGCTTTAGGTTTGTTGTTGCAATGATGGTGTGGAGTTCCAGCTGAAACTGTGTATGTCAAGAGACTGATGGAGAGTGAATGGAGCTGTGAGACTTCTCAATCCTCCTCTCTCCTCTTTCTTTTCAAGTCCACAGAATTTGGCTCTTATTCCATAAGGTAAAGTCAAACAGTTCCATGCGGTTTGTGAGTGAATTAATCATGATGATTAATTGGCTTTCAAGTTAAATATCCAGTGAGCGATGTCAGGCTGCCAGACATCAGGAGCAAATTGACAGGCCTTTAAGGAGAAGCAGATTGATTTACACAGCAGCTAATGAATCCCCCTCTATTCAGAAGGGGAGGAAAGGTAAACAAGTCTTTTCTTTCTCTTCCTCCCATCTGCCTTGTTCGAGTACACTTTAGTCTCGGTATTGAACTCTAACCTGGTTTTGAGACTCTGAGACTATTGATAAATTCCCTCTTCTAATGCTTTTCCACAACAGTATAACAGCTGAGAGGAAATGCATCTGTTAAAGCTGCTCTGTGTGAAAATACTTAGTATTTACATCAGTTGTATAGCTTTCAGAATATATACTCATGCTGTACAGTTGATCTATGGACATGTGGTTTTTCACTTATAACTCAACAGTTATTGGAAACTCGGCAGACATCCATGACCAAAGATGATGAACCCTATTAAATGTGGAGATTTCTGACTTTTCACTTATCACCACAATTAGATTCATATTTGTGGTTTTGACTATTGTTTGGAATATCTTGAAATTTGATACACACAGTGTATATACAGTGTGTTCATGGTGTCCAGAGGATTCATTCTTTCAACGACTGTGGTGTTTCACTGAGTTTTCCATTAGCAGCACTACCAGGTCAAAGTTTTCAATCTACTGGATGGAGAGCCACCAAAGTTAGCACATTCTTGGTTTTCAGGGAATTAATCCTTCTTGAGGATGTGGTTGACTTGGTAAAGATTGATTGCCATCATCATTATTAGATCAACATTATCCCAGTACCTGCAGAACTACAAACAACTCAACAACTGATGAACTCTGTGTATTTCTAATTAGCTAAATATGCTTATCTAACTCAGATGGTGACCATGGTCACCATTACACCTGCTAATTKTCATTTATATATATATATATATACCATATCATATATATCAAACCCAGAGAGACATTTTCTAGAGTTCAAGCTGTGGGACACAAATCGTTGTACTTTATTAGGGCTTAGATAGAGTTAGATAGAATGACATGTTTTGAATTTTGATATTGTTGTATCACAGATGAAGATGGAGAGTGTTGTGTTTGCAGTGTATGTCTATTTAATAGTACTTATCTATAATTAATCTGGAGATTATCCGCTTCATATACGCAGATTTCATGGTGGCAGCGGAAGAATTGAAGCAGCCACTCAGGGTCAAAGTAGTTGACTTTAGGGTAACCTGTGAGATGCACATGTTTGTCTTTTTAATGTGTAATCTGAATAAACCAGTAAATCCTTTAAATGAACTATAAATTATTATTTACTGTATTTTTATCAATTTGAGACAAAAACACTGTCAGTGATTTATTAATCAAAATCATTTTGAGAAAATTTAAATTTTATTGTTTTTTTATATTACATTAGCTTTTCAAAATGCATTGAATCCTCAACCAACCACAACCCAATGTTAAATGTTTTAACATAATTCTGCTGACAAGAATACAAATGTTGTGTAGAGGTTTGAGGGTTTGGCCATAAAGTAATTGTTTAATTAAATGTTGTGAAAAGTCTTTTTAAATGTTATCGGTCTGTAAATTATATTTAAATATCGAATTAGTATTTGTCTACTGATGAGGTTTATAACATAGATTCAGAACTAACCCACTCTGTCATCAGCTGTTGAAGTTGAATATTAGTTCTTCATCTTTACATTAAATGAATGTCATTGATGTTGTTTTCACAGACTCCTCTGTAAACCATGAAGCTGATGCTTTCTTCTTTCAGTTCTGCCATTGAAGGAGACAACATGGTTTTTTTTGCACCCGGAAACCAATGCGGCCAGGTGTTGCGGCAACTATTCCTCACAATGAACTAATTTATGGAGATAGACAAGACAAAGGTTCCATCTCAGCGCTGGTAGGTTTTTTTTATTTTTATAATCTCATTATACAGGCAGTTGAGATGTTCAAAAACTTTCATCACAGCAGGAGCTCAGACAACAGGATCAGTCTGAAGCAGAGTGAGGGTCACGTCTGGCTGATGTAAAGACGAACTTACAGACAGTAATCTGATGTATATTTATGCTACATCTCACGACAACAGATAAGAGTCGGGGCATGCTGACAGAAGCATATTCTCTTTTGTATCTATAAGTAAATAACTGTTGGCTGGATCAAATTTATAAAGCAGCTGTCTGAAGTAACATTCAGTCTTTAAAAAAAACACAGGAACAATAAAATGTTCTGGTACAACAAGGAGCTCTACTGTAAATGTTCAGACGGTTCAGGTTTATCTTTTGTTTTTTCATTCAAAGCTTTTGTCCATCGATCACGGTCTGTGCAGACAATGTGAGTCGAGTCTGGTGTCTTATTGTCTAAGACTTTAATAGAAGTTTTCTCTTGGTTCTTTTTGTTTGCTATAACTTATGTATATTTCTGTTCTTGTAGGAGCAGCTTAATTCTTATGAGACCGTAAAATGCTTCTTGTTTACTTAACTTTTTCCATTTTGTAATATACATACATGTTCTACAGAGGAGGTTAGATAAGACTGTGGTCAATGCAAGACAGGATTAACGTGCTGAAGGCATGAGGGGAAATTAGGCTTCTGGTTCTGTGAATCTCTTCAAATCAAGATTTCAAGATTAGGTAATGAAGTTTAAACATAATTTTAAGTCATAATCTTTAAGTCAGTTGTTGCTTTAGAGGTGATGATTTATGTAAATCTAAACAAACATTCTGAGCCTTTTTGTGCTCCAAAGTTGTCCTTCTAAAATTCCATTGTTCAAAGTCCTAATGTCTAAGTGAGTCCATGTGTGAAAGGAGCAGGTCATTGTCGGCAGAATTCACAAAGCGAGGCGGCATGTTAATGGCAGAAGAAATGTATGCGTGCTATATTCTGGTGCTTTCAAGTACCCTAGCCTGTTTATATGTTTTTAACAATTGATACCCTGTCTCATAACTGTGCACGTTTGTGGAGCTCTATTTACTGACAGAGGGAGGTGAAGCTAAAATGTTGAATAAAAGCTAACAGGTTACAAACGTTTCCCTCATTTCGAACTCTGTAACTACTTGCTGAAAGGTCTGAATGGTTCAAAATGAATTATTGAGAATTTGTGTGTTTACGTTGAACTTTCTCTGTCATCTCTTCTTGGTAGGAACAGTTATTGATTGGATTAGCGGTGACCAAAGTAACGGATGTCCTCCCGTGTTGTTTTCTTTAATATTGTGCCGTTCAAACTCATAATTTCCTCGCTGGTGTTGAAAGGTCATGGCTGGTGAAAAGCACAAGTAGTAGATGTGTTTTGATGTTCAGTGCTACCTTTTCCCTCTCTGTAACCCCCTGAGCCCCTCTGATCTACTCTTCAGCTCATTAAAACACCCTCTCCACCTCCACATTAGCATCAGAGTCATGGTCAGACTGCTTTGTGTTATAAGGGAGGAAAACAATATCAATAACAACAACAAAAACAATAGTAGCCTTTGGTCCGGGGAGGAGAGGAGAGAAAAAAGGTCTTTGATAATGTACATCAAAGTGAGATGCTGAAGTGGGCTGTGGTTTCACTGCGTGCATGCCAAGGTCGTCTCTGATCCTGCATGCGGTGTTAGCGCTCGGGTCTGATGACGCAAGGTGAGTTGCTGGATCTGCAGGACATTTCCTCAAGGAAGAGAATTCAAACCTTGCAACCAACAAAGCCTTGTCATAGGTTAAAGATGTGCTCCTTGATTGACGTTGATTTCCTGTATCTGCCTCCTGGTGCATAATGTTTGTGTTAGTCTGAAAGCCTTGGGAATGTAGAATTGTTTGCAGTTAATATAAAGTTTGAGAGCTCAGTCACTATGAATCTCTGTACAATGTAAAACTGGCACCTGTGCTGAAAAGTACAAAAGCCCCTATAGACTTTGGTGGATTCATACAAATACAGATGCAAGATCACTGGCCTCCATCTAGCCTCGTGTGGATCTGTAATTCTGGGGGTGATTTGTGCTTAGGGTGAACAGTTGTTTTCTACTCTGTAAAACAACTGTTTCCCAATTTTGTAATGGTAATGTAATCATCGCCTGGATTATGTTCAGAGGATTTTGTAAAATGAATGAATGAAATTGTATATTTATAAATGGCAGCAGTACAGAGAACACACATGTCATACTCGAGACTGGGGTCCTTATTCAGAGGCCTGTCAGACTGAGGCAACAAAAGCACTTTGGTTAAAGTCAGGGAAAGATTAATGGCTTTTTGTGGTTAAATGTGAATGAACACGTTGTGTCTGAAGTCACTGTGAACTTTTTAAGAAAACCATAATCTTTCCCTAACGTTAAGCATACCCTGCCAATGCCCAAACATGTCCATCACAAAGTTTAATAATGCTGTATTTGTTACAAGTCGACAGTGTTTAGCATGATTATGTACTTTTGGCAGAAAACACATTGTCCATGAAAAATACACTCTTACATTCATTATCAAATTAAAGCCATCTTCATCAGTAGGTAATTTACTCGCTGTTGTAAATGTAAAGAACGATTGTTCATTCCTGTCCTTGAACTATCAGTTTGATCAAAAGATCTCAAATCAACCTCCACTTTCTAGCATTTTCAGTTTTTAATCATTTTTCACAGACTAAATTTTGGGGATTTTTTTCTCACAGAAATTGATCTGTCGAAAAAAAGTTTATGTTTAAAATATAGCTTAATGATCTATAAATGATTTTTTAAACATTAATAAAAACATAAGGAACAACTTGCCTCTTTGTACAGATAAGCATGGCTCATAGAAAGTGGGCCTAAACATAACTGAACAAAGACAGTTAATAGTGCAAAGGGTTAATTGTTCTTTTTCTTCCATACATGTGTGAACTTTGCAGTAACACATCCACCAAAAGATAGGTGTTTTTATCTTTCATAATATATTCCATGTTGTCCTTCATTAAAAAGCAAAATGTGTAATTTGAAATGACTGAAATTTTAAACGAACTGAAACCATAAATATCCTCCTCTCTCTCCTCCCTCTGGGAGCATGTGGTGGGAGTTGTAGCTCATGAAGTGTGCAGTGTTGATGTGAAACTCTCCTCACTGTGCAGTGAATAAGTGTTAATTTCCAAAGCGGCATGACATCATTAACCTGCTGTGTTTAAAAGTATTCACTGTATTTATTTAATTAGATGTCACTGTAAGGTGTCTTGATTGACGTCTTGGCTGATCCACACAGTCCTACTCTGTGCCGAAACCTTTGCGGTAACACTGACATGTTCTTTTGTTACGCTGTTCTCAAAGTGCTCAAACAAGTCATTATAAATTCTTCCACTTCTCATCAGCCTGCTGAATAATCACAGGTTTGTTTTTATTTATAACTGGTGTAAACACTGTGAGCCTCTTTGTACACTGTTGTTAATGGAAATGCAACAGACAAAAAGGTAAATGATACAGTGATTATCCATGGTTGGATATTCCTAATAAATTCCAAATACTTTATTATACCTGCTATGCAAATCTAATCCATGATCTCCAGGAACAACAGTGTAACAGGACCACAGGATCATGAATCAAAATGCCACAACCCATTCTGCCACTTGTATCAGGGGTCACTTAATATTTCAGTATCTGATACTTCCTTCTTTTCCTCCAAACCCACCTGAGAAATCATCTTAACTACAGAGAGCCTTTATGAGTATGTGGACCTCAGAGAAATCTGTCCATTCATGAAAGGCTCAGGGCCAGCCAGACCTAGCCAGACCAGCCCTTCAGGGACACCCGCTGTTTGACTTGGCTCGTGACTGTGCACGGGTACAGGGCTACAGTTGTCCGTAGCCACAGGCTGCAGAGCTGCAGGTATTTCCTGACTAAATTTCTCTGTCATACTGTTTGCAGTCGTAGACTAAGGACGGCAGGGGAACTTTAGAGAGAACGTGGATAAAATGCTATTAGATGCCAGTGTGGGAGGACACAAATACAAAAACAAACTTAGTCACAATGTATTTTTCTTAAATTTCTCTTTCAGTTCATGAGCTTTGGTTGAAGCTAAAAGGAAATTAAAAACTAAAAGACTTCCTTTTCTTTAATCCAACATCTATATCTTATTTTTTGCAGCTATATAAGCACAGTATTTTTTTGGTGGTAAAGGCCTTGAATTTATGTGAATGCGCTGAAGCCCAAGAGTCTAATCTTTTCTGAATTTCCTCTGTTTTTCCTCTGTTATGACCCAGATGTTGCTCTCCCATGTTGGTTTGGGAATAAATATTCATCATAGACTTTATGCCACCATTTCGAGAACATCTTTCACCATTATGTAAATGCATATAGACACTTGGAAAATTTCAGTGCCTGCACACCTGCAAGCACCTGGACACAGACACAAACACACATGCACACACACAGACACACATTGAAAAAGAGATGAGCGATGTCTTTGTAAAATTTCCCTGCTGTATTTTCTGTGTGTTCTATTCCTTGTCACTTTGGCCCCTCTCAAATGATCCGTTGGGATTAATGAATGTAATTTTCACACATTATCTTCACCCTGCTTATACTGGGCCAGCCCACAACAGTGTTTAACAAGTGCATCTGTCCATTAGGTATCATCAGCAAAGTCGCAGCAGGGTTTGTAAGTGGCTGTTGTTCCAGTGGTGTAAACACAACTGCCCTCTTCCTTTCCTCTCCTGGCTGAGAGCATCCTTCTGCTGAGTAATTCCACCACATCAAGTGCATGAGAAATGGGTGTTTTGTCTCGGCGAACTTCTCATGACAGATGAATCATCTTTAAACTCGGTTATTGACTGAAATGTCACATCAAAGTGCAATAAGACACATGTTGGAACCTCAGAGATGTCGTCTGACTTTAAATTTGAATATAATTGGTCATGTGTGTCTCATATTTTCAGTCCATGTGAATGGGGGAATTTTGGAAATGGATACATTTTGATCATTTCCCCTCCGTATCATCTGTTTTCCCACTCTCTCTGTAGCCCGACTACCACCGCACTTTGTCTCTCCTCATTCTCTCGCTCTCATCTCCGCGGCCGCCTCTGCTTCTGATTTAAACACACAGCGGGGGGTTGTGGGTAGAGGCTCACGCTGTGAAGGATCCCTCTGACTCAGGGAGAGCTGAAGGTCAAACACACTCATGATCAGAACCACGAGATGACATGGAAGAGGTGGAATAGAAAGAGTGCGGGATGGAATCCATGGAGATGTGTTCTGTTCTCTCAGTGGTGTGCAGTTCATTCTGTAAACACCACAACGCTTGGTCTCACAGTGGAGGGAGCGTCACAACAGATTTATTAATAAATCAATGAGCAAGATTTCTAGTGTTCAACATCACCTGATAACAACTTAAACACATATAGACTAAGATCTTTTCTCGTCTCTGCAGAGAATATAGAGTAGTAAACTTAGCTGTGGCGATACCAGCAAGAACACTATTATCTTTGCAAGTTAATTTTGTTTTGTCTGCTGGTTTAGTTTTTTTTCTCGCTTCTTAATTAGTGAGACCCTTGACTGACAAAGCAAACAGATCTGCAACAAGAGCATGAACACGAGAAAAATCATCTGTTTCTTTGAATGGAAAAACTCCTGGAGCCCAGATGAAGCTTTTCCTTTTTCTCCTTTGCATTTTTTTTTTTTTTTGTTGGAAGCATTTGCATATTTCAAAAGTCTACCAAAGAAAATAGCCCAGGGGCAGAAATGGCCGATCTGCATATTGAAGACTCAACAGAGGAGTGGGATACACAGAAAGAGAGAGAGAGGGAGAGAGAGGGAGGGAGAGAGTAGAGAACATCTAAATGACTTAAAGTAGATCTAAAAGAAATAATGTCAATTAGCTGATGGTGTCATTGTGCTGTATAAATTGCAGTATTCACTATGACTAAAACAGCTTATTTGCTCAGTTGTCGAGCGGCGGCGTGCAGAGAGAGAGGGAGAGCAGAGGGAAAAATGTGCATCATAAGAAGGCCTCTTCACCCAGCTTCCTTCATGAATAACAAATAGAGGACCCAGTGCTGTGACCAGCCAACACAACACATGAAAAACATTAGTGCATTCCCTGAGTCGTCTGGTTTTCTCTACATCGCGCTGGTCGGCTGGAAACATGAGAAACACGGCGTGGCTTTTGAACAGCTACGCTTCATGTTTTTTACTTTGTTTGACCGAATGCAGCTCAACAACAAACAGGTTTTTAAGCAGTGGAATAATTACTTAATGAAATAATGAAATGTAAGAACAGTGTTGAAGTACTCAGGTTGGATCACTTCCAGTAAGAAAACTATTTATGTTGTTATCTTGACTTTTTTTTATTGATTAATCAACATTAACACTTTACAGGCCGCTGAAATGTCTCACATTATTAACATATATATTGACAACTGGTTTTATTAATGTAGTGTTTTCAAATCAAATTTAATAATAGTGAAAACGTATCCCTGTTACAAGCCATTGATTGAAATGCTTATTTGTTACAGTACGAATATCTGAGGTAATGATAGTAGGTTTTATATTATGTATTCTATACAGTCGTGATGCAGATTCCTGGCTTAACTTTGTTGCACTCTTCTAATTTATTATGTATAGATATATATATGTTTAACATTTTAGTGTTGTAATGTTAAAACCACAAAGTCTATACAGTCCACAAAGAATGTAGGGGAAAAAAATTAAATATTTTGATGTTCAATTTAAAAAGTCCACTGGTTTGTGTGGTGTGTGTCCTTCGTGTTTTTATGTAGCTCTTCAGGACAGCAGCTGCTGAGCATCTGGAGCAAAATTGAAGTATTAACAAATTAATATGGAACCTTACTGGACCTGTTATTTTAAGATCATATTCTCAGAACCCTTCCTTTAATTGCCATTTAACATTTACAGCCGAGTGTCATGCTAGAGGACGATCTACACGAGGAGAGATTTTTCAAAAAACTTAACGCCTTGAAGTTTTTCTTATAACTTGCTAAAAACAGAACAAAACATACAAGTACATTTTCATTAATGATCTATAAAGCCATTAGCTTGACTTTATTAAACCTTTACAAATGTTTTTTTTCAATAAGGTTGCAGCTCTGTGATTGTTGCATAAAGAGTTTTTCTGGACTATCACAGGTTGAACGTTTATGCAGCTATTTTAAACAACATATAACATTTTATTTAAACATGGCCATTTTTGACTCTCCTGCTAAATTTGTTTTGAGAAATGAATTTGTTTTATACATCATGTGATTCTACCATTGACTGAGTGAGGTTTTACTGTATACTCTCAGGAGATGAGGAGTACCATCCTGCCAAAAACATTCACTGGACTGGACACATAGATAAAGTGAGTTATTAAGGAGACGAAAATAAACTAAATGTGAAAAAATACTTCACTTTAAAACTCCTGAACTGTCTCTACTGATTCTGCTCCTGCATAACTCACTAAGTTTAATTTGACCATGAAGAACCTAAGTTAACTTTTGTAAACCAACTTTTTCTATAAGATCATATCATATTTGTGCCTTTATATGATTTTTTCAATCTTTTCAGTCAAATCAATTTAAAAGTGATATAAATTAACATGATCAGTGAACATAGTGGGGGATATAAGGGCATTTATAACAAAAGGTTCAGTTTAAGCTGTAGATTTATGGATAAACGCAATTTGTGTGTATTTATCTTTTACCTTTTTTGGCCACGAATCAACTCCGCTGAAAAGCATCAATTGGCACATTCACTGGGCTGCACCTGGCTCTCCACTCACAAAACTTTGCTCGAACATTCTCCTCTGCGTGTTTATTCAGCGCAAACTGACGCAGCAAGGAAACATCTTCCCAGCAGAACTGGGTTTTTGTGGAGGGACAGTATTTGTGCAACTGCTGCATGGCCCGGTTTTGTGTGTGTGCACCTTCAGCGCGCACCAGAGCGGCGCGTCACGCCACTGTGGCCTTTTCTTTACCATATGAAAAGGAGAGCGCATTAAGATGCAGGAGGCGTTCAAACCCTCTGTTTACCCAAAGCTGACTGGAGTATCCTTGACACGGGCCTCGCTGCATCTGCGGTTCCAAAGGAGATAATTCACCACTGTACGCAGTTATTCAGTCTGGCACAAGCAACTTTAATGACTTCATAACCTCAGGGAGAAGCATAATAATGCTTAAAAAATGTTTTATATAATCATAAACCTTGTTTTTATACTTTGGGAGATTTTTTGTTGCAGGTTTTTCTTCTTCAGCCTAATTTGTGCCCAGGTTACTTAAAAACACACACGGATCACTCGGTGTCTTTTTTTTCCGTTTGCATTGTTGCATTTTCCTGCTACAAGAACTTTGTGCACCCCAGGCTTCAACTGTGAGATGCACCAACTCCTCTCTGTGGCTGCGCGTCCAATCAGCGGGAGCTTTGCAGACTCTTCCAGTTGTAATTGGACGGAGGTGGGAGAGGAATCCGCAGCCCCGGCACAACGTAAACACATGCCCGTCTCCCTCGCTGCGCAGAGGACGCACCGGTTAGAGCAGATGGAGTGAACTGAGAGGACCACACCGCTTTAGAGGCTTTAAAGTTTGATTTGAGTCGTTACAGAGACACTTTACTCGCATCCAGAACGTAAATACACAGAGAATCGAACAGCTCATCCGTTTGGGCGCAGAGAGGGTCTTCTGCCATATCGTCAGGTCTGTGGATTACGCACGGCGCAGCTCACAGGACAGAAAAGTTTTGTCGCACAGGAATGCGTAACGAAGCGCGTTTTACCAACTAAAATTATGATCTAAGCCGATATGGAGTGATTTTATTTGCCAGTTGGACAAAAATAACCCATGGTGATCTAGACTGAATTTATGGATTAGAAAAAGTGGGACTTTGATCGATACATATCAAGATTTATGCTTTGTGGGATGGCAACCGCCACCTCCAGTCCATATCTAGCTAGCAGCAGGATTTTATCCGGCCCGGTCCTTCACTCTGACCGGAGGGGTGGTGGCATGCAGCCGGGCAGCACCGCTGTGACCAGTGTTTCCAGTGGATACAGAGGAGACCCGTCAGTTAAGATGGTGCAGAGTGACTTCATGCAGGGAGCCATGGTAGCGAGCAACGGGGGCCACATGCTCAGCCACGCTCACCAGTGGGTCACATCGTTGCCGCACGCCGCAGCCGCAGCAGCCGCAGCCGCGGTGGCAGCAGTCGAGGCCGGCTCCCCGTGGCCGCCCAGCTCCCAGCCGCAGGAGGTGAAGAGAAACGGCGGCAGGGAGGACCTCCACTCCGGCTCCGCTCTGCACCACAGGTCCCCACATCTGGGACCCCATCAGACGCACCCGGGAAGTTGGGGAGGCTCCTCCGCGGCGCACATCAGCATCTCAGAGGGGCCACAGCAGCAGCAACAGCAGTCCCTCATCTACTCCCAGCCAGGCGGGTTTACTGTCAACGGGATGCTCAGCTCACACGCCGGACAGAGCCTCATGCACCAGGGGCTGGTGCGCGGCCAGTCCCCGGAGCTGGACCACGGCAGCCAGCATCACCACCAGCATCACCACCACAATCACCACACACACCTCCACCAGCATCACGGTGTGAACCATGAGCCGCACTCAGACGAGGACACACCGACGTCTGACGACTTGGAGCATTTCGCCAAACAGTTCAAACAGCGACGGATCAAGCTCGGTTTTACGCAGGCGGACGTGGGCTTGGCGTTGGGCACCTTGTACGGCAACGTGTTCTCACAGACCACCATCTGCAGGTTCGAGGCGCTGCAGCTGAGCTTTAAGAACATGTGCAAGCTGAAGCCTCTGCTCAACAAATGGCTGGAGGAGGCCGACTCCACGACCGGGAGCCCGACCAGCATCGACAAGATCGCCACGCAGGGCAGGAAGAGGAAAAAGCGCACATCCATCGAGGTGAGCGTGAAAGGCGCGCTGGAGAGCCACTTCCTCAAGTGTCCCAAACCCTCCGCGCAGGAGATCAATTCTCTGGCGGACACTCTGCAGCTGGAGAAGGAGGTGGTCCGGGTCTGGTTCTGCAACCGCAGGCAGAAAGAGAAGCGCATGACGCCCCCTGGACTCCCGCGCACCCCGGAGGACGCGTACTCACAGGTGGGCAGCATGGGTCCCGACACTCCGTCACCCTCCATAGACTGCAAGAGGATGTACAGCGACACGTGAAAATAACTTACACTGTGAAGTGTGTGGTTATATATTCAGAGAAACGTTTCCCCGAAAGACTCGAGTATCTGCTTAACTTTTCTTACACTACATATGTCCAGTAATTATCCAGTCGTTCATTTCAGAGCAGGACAGATGTCCCTTTTCGCTTCGTCGAGTATTTTCCTGCACAGTGGATCAACCTTTGGGACAGAAAACCAAAAGCTAAACGGAAATCTGAGAAGAAAACAAGTTTTATGTCTTTTACATTCAATTTTTCTGAGACTTTAAGGCTTCAAACAGAAAAAAAAGCTATTTGTGCAGTTAATAATAAAAAATAAGTTCCCTTGTAATGCTGCAGATTTTAATACCCCACTCTTCCCTACATGGTTTTTGAATTAAGGGACAATTATTATTCAGCATTTTCTTGTTTTTATGATAAGCAATAATTTATCAGGTGTTTAAAGGTGTTTCTCACTTTTGTGTTGTGTCAGTGGTTTTATGTTGTGTCACAGTTTAAAAATGGACAAAAAGCTGAAATTATTCCAGTTTTTCCTTCATAGGAAACTTTTCTTTCTTTCTGGAAATTAGCAAACATGCCCTTAAGTTAATGTACAAGTAAGTCTGTTGTGCATTTCTTGTGATTATTTATTTCTTCCACTTGTGGTTATTTTCACTGAACAGACAAATAATTTAATAAATCTTACATGAGGGAAATTGTGTTAAAATACTTGAGATGGCACACACACACACACACACACACACACACACACACACACACACACACACACACACACACACACACACACACACACACACACACACACAGTGAAATATTGAACATGCTTCTGCTTTTATAAGGTTTGTAAAGTTTTATAAGGCTCTACCTGTCAAAGGTTTTTCAGACTTATTGTGTCTTTCATGAGATTCAAAGACAATATACAAACATCATTTCACAAGTCCCATAAAGGCATAACATAGAAGTCCAATATTTATGTTCATGTGAACTGGAATTCCTCTTAATATGCCAAACATTTGCCTGTTCCATGTTCAGATTAGAAGATTTTCTTTAACTCAACATCTTATAGTTTAAGAAAGTTGAACAAGAAACATCAAAAATATTTGTATCTCATCGAGCTGCAGGAAAAAATACAATTTCACTGTTTTCTGTTATTTTATGGATAAAACATCTCGTTGACAAAATAACTGGCAGATTCATTGATCCTTAAAATATTCACTGTAATTGCAGCACTGGCAGTTTATTATGTTTTCACCTCTGTAACATAAACCCAAAGTATCTATCCAACACCATTTCCCAGTTTTGTATGAAGCCATGTTGACTCTATTGAAGCCGTGTGGACGCATCATTTAATCCTGTTCTTGAAATCAAATTATACATTTTTGATATACTGCATACCGGTGCAGCCGCATATACGTCCTGTGGCAGCGCTATGGACTGCAGCTCTGTGGAACGCAGCCAAGGGAGGTTGGCTATCCCAGCTGGCACTTCACCTCGGCAGCGGTTGCCAGGGTGACGGCGAGATGGAGTGACACAAGGCAGCAGATCTTTTGCCACAGATGATGGGTTTGGCTGATATAGGCAACGAGAAGCTCGGTACACTGGCTCTGAAAAAGAAAAAAATAATCTGTGTTTCTTCTCTGTGTTTCTGATGCATGCACACATACACACAACAACACACAATAAAAAAACACCTACACACGTGATGATGTTACAAGTCAAAACTCTTGTTGATAACAATGGGAGGTGTCAGAGGACAAGTCGGGGAGAAGCAGTTGTTGCAGTGAAAGTGGGAGGGAGGTCAAAGGTCGGCTACAGTAGCTGCAGAACAACCAGAAAGTGAATAAACACAAACCTGGAAGTTAATATATAACTGCAAATCTAACACTTTAAATTACAATCTGCGTGTGTTTGTCTTGCATCAGGTCTAATGAAAATAAATGGAAGGAGCGGCACACACACTTTCTTTTGGTTACTTCGCCACTTTTAATGGGATTCAGATTTTTATGGTTTTCTGTGCACGTTAAAAAACAGGTAGGCCTTCACACAAACATGTCAAGATGTGTGTGAGGTGTGTATTTGCCCCTGTGTGTGTTTGTGCGTCTCTTAGCTGAACATTGGCAGGATTTAAGGGAAACTTGGCCTTGTGGTTATAAATAGAAGTCTACCTGTATGAATGGGCAGTTTCAAAGGGTATTTTACACCAAACAACGTCATCACCAGAGGTTAATTTTTAATCTGAAGAGGCTGAGAGGGAACAAGTATGATGTGGACATGTTGATGGTGCTTGTGTGAAAACTGAGAGGATTCAGCTACTGTCGTTCATTTCTTAGCTTTGGACAAATAGACGTTTTTACAGAATCAATGTTTTCACGCAACAATAATGACTTTATTATCTTTACTATGAACTGGTGCTGCCATCATTTAAAACATTGTTCTCTCTCTCTCTCCCTTATTCCAATTCTCCCTCTTTCTTTCGACTTTCCTTACTCTCTTCCACATTTTTCTCCACTCATCCCAACCGGTCCTGGCAGATGGGCGCCCTCATTGAGTCTGGTTCTGCTCTTGTTAGCTCATTGTGGGAACTGTTGGGTTTCTCTATAATATTATAAGGTCCCGATCTTACGATGTAAAGTGCCTTGAGATAATGTGTGTAGTGATTTTGGCTCTTTCAAATAAAATAAAATTGAATTTCAATTATTTGATAAACGATAGAAGACAGACGCTGTATTCCGTCATGAAAACGAAGCAGAATCTTCAACACACAATGTTAATGAAGTGGAAGTCGTCTGCATGCTTGTGCAGCAGTATCACACAGAGGTCGACTGGTTGCTCTGCTGCTCACCGTCATCCACGGCTCTTAACATGATGTATTCCCATCGAGCTGCCGAAGTTCAAGCTCACTGATAAAAAAAAAAAGGAAGAAGGCAAAATCTAAGCTTCTAGGATTGCACTGTGATCCCCTCAAAGCTTAGTGATGTAAAGATTGGAGATAAGGCTGGAATTGAGGGGAGATAAAAAGCCCTTTAAGGGGTTTTGTCATCACATGATGCCGGATGTCGTGTCTGAATATCAATGCTGGGATCTGGAGGGTGTACGAGCCGGAGATGTTACAGTTCTCAAAGTATCTGAGTCTGAATCTCCAAAACACTTGAGCCAAAGTTTATTGTTTTTTCACATCAGACAAAATCTTCACAAATGTTTAAGCTCAAGAGATTCTTCAAATTGACCTGGAATAGTGAAGAAAGGATAATAAGATCCAAACATATGAAAGGACAAACAAATTGGAGAAAAACTTATATGCTTACACATCCATACATAGACAAAGAAAGAAAAATGAATATATCAGTGTATATACAACATGTTGGCCATTTTTACCTTAAAAACAGTGTTGCATCAAACGTTCAGAAGTTTACAGCTATACAACCTAACATCTAACTAAATACATCTCACGAGTAGATGCATATCAGAGATAATTTCATATGTAATAATTAAAGGTTATTTTTATGAGCTGAAGTGCCTCATACAGAGGAGTGGTAGACCCCCTATGTCAAGTCACAGTCCTCCACATCGTTATCAAGTAGCCTATATGATAATCGCTCTATGGCAGCCAGGTGACTAACAGAGATGCACAACACTGATGGTGACTGTGTCGATTTCCAATCTTTGACCAGAAGCTCTCTCCTTAACACAAAGGTAGTCTAGGTCCAATCAGCAAGTGTTGGACTTTGAGCGACTTCACATGTCCATGAGGGATCTGTTCTTGTCATGACATCAAATGTAGCCTCTGCTCATGCATGTACAGTAAGTATGCACGATTAACATTTAGTGCTAATTGTTATGTTGTCTTATGTGTATCACTGGAACAGTGGCTGTTTGCCGCTCACACACTAAAGATGCCATTATACCACAACCATAACACCATAACAACTGCTAATATATTTGTTCATAATTGGTCCTAAAGCCTTTTACATAAGTACTTTACATAAAGCAATTACTCTTGATAATCCCTTCCTTAATGATTGCTGTTTGTGTCTCAAAGTTCAGACGCAGTGACGTGCATGCGCAGACTCACACCTGCACCTGTTCGACAAATGATTTAACAATGGCAAACTTTTCATCTGCAACTCTTTTCGTTGTGGTTTGCACATTATCAGTTCCCAGTGTCTGGTGTTAATTATTTTTCTACGTTGGTTAACGGCTAAAGTCTAACACTGATTAACACATCATGGCTTCCTCAGTGTGACTCAGCAGCGTTGTGCACGAATAAAAACACCCACAAGGTGCATTTAAGTGTATGTAATGTTTTATTTGCTTGCAAGTGTATTAAGACAGTTGTATGCACATGGCTCGGTTAATATTCCTAGATGTGTGGGTTGTCTCCTCTCATCTGAATATTATGATTTAGTGGTTAACATGTTTCACTTTGCCAGTGTTTGCTCTTTTTTTGGGTGAAAGATGGAGTACCAAAAGTCTCTCCATTAGGAGGAAATTAAAGCAAACATCTGTGGAATAATGGACAGGGAAATGAATTCTCACCAGAGAGCCTTTTTTGTGTGTGGGTGCCACTGAACGTGACGAGCATGCATGTGCCAGACCGGCGGAGTGGAACTGTTTTGATGGGCATGTTCAACACATGGGCATGATGCCAATTTAGACAAGCATGCCCATGAAAAGAAGCTCCGGCTGCATACTAAGTGTGATCGAGTTGTAAGTGTGTAAAAACTCGGAATACACAGATAATAACAGATTTTCAATTCAAATTCATTACAATTGAATTAAAAAAAAAAAAAAAAATAGGTTGTGCCAACTTAGCATGTTATACTTGATTAAAATTATTCCTGATAACTCATCTTCTAATAAAAGATCCAGAGCAACTTGAGAAACTCTGAATTAAAATAGAAATAAGAAATAAAACATAACAAAATAATAATTAAACACATATACCTATAAACACCAAAGGTGGCTCCTCTAATAGAGGCAAAGTGGATCTGAGGTGTAATGCTGCCATCTCTTGGATAAAATATTGAATGCGTATCTTCCAAACCTATGTCAATTTAAAACTTTTTTGATTTATTTTTACAGGCCTGTGAGATGAGGTTGATATTTATTTGTCAAAATGTTGTAAATATGGTAAATTGAGCTGTTGCTGGTGAAATATATCAGCATCCAAAACCTACAGTTACCTACACAAAGAGTAAGTCTCTTCTAAATCTTCAATAAAAGTAAAAGTAATATATATAAATGATCCTTTTCACCGGGATAAATAGCAACTTTGAAATGAGGGCATCTGCACTACAAGATATTGTAGATAATAAGTTATCATTATTAATATTTGTTTTCTTGTCATTGCTGAGTCACTTTTTAGCCTTTTTTGGGAACCAAATGTGCAGTTATGCGTTTTTTACGCAGCAGATATGTTTGGCACCACATAAAGTATCTCATTACATTTATTTTCTGGGTCACACTGCTCCTTTAAATCAGTGACCATCCTGCTCCTGTGGCGTCAGCATCTTCCGCAGGCGGACCGATGGCGATTGATCCGCCAGTGAAACGTTTAAAGTGGGATATTTTTGGAAAAGCTCTGCTGGGAGAATCGCACCGACTGTCTCGACGAAAGACGCAGAATAAAAAAACCCGCTCTCAGATGAAACCGTGCAGGTAGGCAGGCCTCCTCGTGTCTGGCTAATGCTCAGATGTGTATTGATTTGTTCCTGTAATCCCCTGCTCGGTGCTCAGAGAGAAATCAGGCTTTTTGCGTTTTTTGTTTTTTTTTGTTTCCTGAAATTGGGAGTCGACCTGTTTTTCCTGCAGAGCAAACACAGGTGTGGGAGAGAAACTGATGTGATGCAGATGTGAGAACAGACCGTGTTCATGCTTTGTGCTAAAGCTGTGTAAAATCCCTCAGTGTCACTAAATTTAAAGCATCGATTAACCATACATGAAAACAGGATATGGCATCATACAAATGGATCACAGTGAAAAAGTAAGGGCCTGCCTCCAGGAGCTGTGAGGCTGCAATCATAATCTTTTATTTTAACACTTTCTCATTCAACAGCTCTGAAATGATACATGTTTAAATTCACCCTCATATTTGTATATTGTATTTTTGTAGTGTCACTGTCTCTTATCAGGTGATCAGTCAGTCCCTGAGCCCAGCAGCAGCTAAACAGCCTGAAGCCACTGGGTTTTGTTGAAATAATCATCTAAGAACCAAACATTTTATCATCTAATGGTTTTATTATCATGTAGAATCCATTGATTTTGGATCGATGTCTAATTTCGTTGTCTTCATTTTTATTTTAGCAGATTTATTCTTAGTTTTATTGCTTATTCCAAATTGTAATGACATGAAAGAAGAAACAGGTACTGGCTTACTATGACCCTATGTTTATCCCCTTATGTCTGACAAATCATCTTTGCTCTAATTTGATTGAAAATATTTTTAAGTCCTGTTCTGACTAAGTTTAATTCCTATGTTGAGTCATGCGTGTTGAAATCATATGATGTGGAAAATATTTTAGTATAGACACTTCTTCAGGGGATGAGAGCTTGTGCTGCTTGTTACCATGGTGCTGGTGACCTTGTTACCTTGGCAACAACCAGTAATGCTATCCAGTGGCCTGGATTTTGTGCAAGAATCTAGCTACGATCACCGGAGAGAACATTTTGTAATGGCACACATTTTGACATGTTGAGTATGAAAATTGCAAGATTTTTGTTTCGCGGTTCCATTTTGAGGACATTCAGTGAACTTCATGTCGGCTCAGTTTCACACTGTCATGGACCATTTAATAGAACTGAGCCTTTTTTACTGTCTTTGCCTTTGCTGTTTATCTTCTTTGTGCAAAAAGTCAAAATGTGTGCCTGCTACACCCAGGCAGCAACACAACGATCTGAAACCTGAACACCACAACAACCTCAACACATTGTCAACATTTGCACTGTCCCACCATTGTAGGAGCTGCAGGTGGAAACCATAGCAACAGACTGTGTCCTGTGTTTGTGTCCTGAAGATGCCTCTCCGCTTTATCCAGGTTGCATCAGAGTCTGAAGTGAAGAAAAGACAGGCAGCTGTACCATGGGTGTGTACTCATACTCCACTTTATGTGTGTTGTGCAAATGTGTGTGTGTTTCTGTTCATGTGTGAAACATTACAGCTCGGCTGTTAATTATTAATCTCATGCAGGTTGTTGAGCAGCACATCTCTGTCCTTTGTGATTGTGTATATATATATATTTCAGTGTGGTGCATCTGTGGGTCGGACATACAGTATGTCTTGTAAAACTCCCTCAGTATCATTCCTCCTCTCATTGTTTGTCACTGAGCAGCTGAACAGATTATCTAATGAGACACATTCACACAGTATCAATGTTGATGGTTCTACATGATGATATCCATTCATTGTAAAGTATAATTTTCATGTAATGATCTAGGGGCCGATTTGCCCTATAGCTGAAATGCATCAGAATGTCTGGTGTAGTTTTGCCTCCTGATCCAGCAGAGGGCGATCACTTTCATCTTGACCTTTTGTATGCTCTCTTGACCTGTCAGTAAAGTAAGCCAGCAATGTTGCGTTGTTTTGCTATGAAGAGCCGTCCTGAGCAGACAGCTAGGACATCAGAGTATGTGAGGAGAAGTAACGATCAAAGGTGAGGGTGCACCACAGGAGAGCAAGTGTTCAACTTCATCTGACTTTGTTCAAACTTGACACGTTGGCAAAACTGACAGCCCTAATATTTAATTATGTGCATGGATATACGACATGTAAATGGACCCTCTATGGAATTTGTGGCCCCTCTATTACCCTCAATGTAGAAAGGTACTAGATCTGCCTCTAATAACGACGGTTGACTTCCCAAAAGTTGAGGTGTTCTTGCTTTTCTTTACTAAATATTGTTAAAGATGGATATTCTCCTGTTTTTTTCACAGGTATCCCCATGGAAGACCAGCGTCTCAAAAACAACTTAATGTGTATATGACATACGATCAACCATGAACACCTTCCTTTGGGTTGATATCTACTGATAATAGCTGCCATGGCTTTCTATAATGAAAGCCTGCTGGAGAATTGTGACTTCATGGAGCCGGAGGAAAGTTTGCCGTCAGAAGCCACGACCCCCCTGATATCAGTAACTCTGCGCGTGACTCTGGCGGCCATAATGATCTTCATGATTACCATCGGATTCCTCGGCAATGCAATCGTGTGTCTGATTGTTTACCAGAAACCCGCCATGCGCTCCGCCATCAATCTCCTCCTCGCAACTTTGGCCTTTTCCGACATTATGCTCTCTCTGCTCTGCATGCCCTTCACTGCCGTCACCGTCGCCACTGCCGACTGGAGCTTTGGGAGTGGGTTCTGCCGCGCCTCCATCATGCTGTACTGGCTGTTTGTCCTGGAGGGAGTGTCCATCCTCCTCATCATCAGCGTGGACCGATTCCTCATCATCGTACAGCGGCAGGACAAGCTGACTCCCAACAGAGCTAAACTGTTGATCGCGGGTTCATGGGTGTTGAGCCTGTGTGTGTCACTGCCGTCTGTGGTCGGGTGGAGGACAGGCGCAGCAGGTATTGGGGGTGCCTGGGCTCCGCAGTGTGTTCTGGGATATAGCGAGTCTGTGGCAGACCGTGGGTACACAGTGCTGTTGGCAGTCGCAGTATTCTTCGTGCCATTCACCGTTATGCTGTACTCTTACATGTGCATCCTCAACACGGTACGCCACAACACCCTGCGCATCCACAACCACACCAGTGAGCACTCCTGTCTGCCAGCACTCAACCAAGTCAGCAAAATGAGACTCAGTGGGCTGCAGCGCCCCCCTCAGGTCAAAGTGGACATGAGCTTCAAGACCCGAGCCTTCACCACCATCCTCATCCTCTTTGTGGGCTTTTCAGTGTGCTGGTTGCCGCACACCGTGGTCAGCCTGCTGGCCGTGTTCAGCCGGCAGTTCTACTACAGCCCGGTCTTCTACCCAATCAGCATCGGCGCTCTGTGGCTCAGCTACTTGAAGACGGTCTTCAACCCCGTCATCTACTGCTGGAGGATCAGGAAGTTCAGGGAGGCGTGTCAGGAGTTCATTCCCAAAAGCTGCAGACTGTGTCCCAAAGTGCCGGGCAGGAGCCGCAGGAGAGTGAGGCCCAGTAACATTTATGTGTGCAGTGAGACTCAGTCAGCCGTGTGAGACGAGGAGGACCAGTTTGATAGACGCTCAAACCAGTAGCTTTTCCTATCAACTGTTTTAAACTCCTAATGTTCCTTATAATAAGCAATGAGAGGCCAATAAAGTACCTTTAAAATAATTTACTGGTTGTTTACCAAATAATCTCACCTCAAAAATGAAGTTATCATCTTAACTTCAATGCACTTTAAGTTATGCTCTGAGTGATCAGAAAAACTTGAATTTCCACGTCTTTTCAAAAATTCTTTCTCATGGTCCATGCAAACAATGAAAATGATCTTAAGGTACTTACAGTTAAAGTTTAATCTCTTCCGTCTGTACGACTTGTAGCAAAAAACAATAAAGGTAAATTAAAATAAAAGTACAGCGCAAATAAAGATCAATAACATAAACAAATAATAGATTCACAAAAAAAAAATAAAAAATAAAATGTAACATAAAAATTAACCTAACTTGTCCAGTGGAACAAAAGAATGGGCCTTCGTACTCAAATGGTGTTACAAAGAGAGAATGGATAGAAAAAGTAATTCTATCCTATGTATGTCATAAATAATGTCAATCCAGTCAACAATTGTATCTGGTTTTAAACAACTTAATAATAATGGCTGTCCATCCAGCCGCGCTGAGAATCCAAAACAAATGTCCAGTATGAGAGGAAATATATCCTGAAGGTAGAGCACCCATGTACTAGGTCGCCAGTTTAAAGTTAATATGAACTTGAAGGACTTTTTGCAAAACTTTCTTGCCAGAAAGGTATTAATCTATAAATATATATATAAAATAAATTGTAAACTTCTAATGTTCAATGGTAATGCATATTACGGACCTTGTGGTGGGAATCTTTTGTGTGAAATATAAAAAAATTGGCCTTAAATCATGGTCATTATTCTACTGAAACTTATTTCTATTTAAAAAAATCATATCCTTCACTTTCCATTTATTTCCCTGTTTCATATTTTGTCCCTCAAGTGTTTTATCGTTGTTCTTCTGTTGCTTCAGACTTAACTCAGTATTCAGTGTATGAGTAGTAGTGGTGATAATTCTTCAGTTGTTGATTATGTGATAAGTTTCATAAAAAAAACATGTATGGTTTTATTGCTCTGAGAGAAAAGTATGAAGGCTTTTTTAATTGTGCAGTAACATAAACTTTTGTCATCTGAGAAAAAAAAAAGATGAATGACTGTGCTCTGATTGATAAACATAGTTTTCAAATTGATGGACTGGAGTGTTTGAATGAAAATCACATACACAAGGTACGCAGGATCATAAAGGAAATATACTGAGTTAATAAAGACATCTATTGACTGTGTAACATCTGCATTTATATAACACACACACTCACATGCAATGTAAGATGGTGGAATGACAGGAGCTGTTAGCTATTGATTAGCAAATGACCTATTCAACCTCTACAGTCAAAGCTGCAGCCTCATCCAACTAAATAAAGGTGCTGTTCAGCACAAAGCAGGAAGATGGCACTGTTCTTTCATTGCAAATCAAGTTCGCTCCACGCGTCACTCACTTCAGGTTGCAATTTGTTTCATTGGAGTGATTCATTCTATTTGAATTGATGAACTAATCAGATATGTTGGCATTTCCCCAGGTCTCAGACTATAGGTTCAAGAAAACTATTAATCTATAGCTCATAATGTTGTTTTAAATACACAAAAAAACACTTTTTCAGTTGTTTCAACTGGTTTAAGGAACATTAATGATTTAATTAAAGTAGTATTAGAGGGCGGTGCATTAATTTCTCCAACTTGTGGACCACAGATAGTATCCATATCCATAATACTAATAGTATTAATTACAACATATTCAATTTGAGCTGTCGATACTCTTCCTGCTCAGGTGGACATTCTGCGGAAACCATGATTTTTGCCTCAAGAAGTTAATTAGAAAAAAAAATATTTCCAAAAGATTTGAATTTAAATGAATTTGTGCCTTTTGCATTTACATGTATGAACAGCTGGACAAGCAACCCATGGTCTTTTTATCTTAATTTAAATCTCATGTTTGCTTCTTAATCACATTACTCTGCTAACTCAATCACTTTACTGAGCTGGATCAAACAAGTCACTTGATTACAGAGACGTCAGTCGAGGAGGCTTTTTGTAAAAACACAGTCACAGTGTCAGCTGTGTGATGGCGACCTGGGTGTTCCCCGTCTCTCACCCAATGTCAGCTGGGATCCAGGCCTCCCTTGACCCCTGAGGATAAGTGCTAGTGATGGAAGGTTTCGAGAAGCTGGCACCATCCAAATATCACGTCTCTACACCCAGACACACAACTACACCCACACAATTCTCATCACACGAGGCCTTCCACATCTTCTATAACCCATTCCACCTCTGTCATTCTGCCAGACCAGGACACATCTGTTTTTCACACCACGTTCCACAAACAAGCTCAGAGGGAGTCTGCTCTCTAACACATATTTGTTCTTTGTTATTATTATTATCATTCTTCTTCTTCTTATCATTATAATAATTATTATCATCTTTAATATTATTATCATTATTATTATTATCATCTTTAATATTATCATTATTATTATCGGTCGTAGTCTCTCACTCTATTGTTGTGACTTGACGCGGTGCATTCTGGGAACAGATGAGCATCCAATATGGCGGCCTCCACGGCACAGGACAGAAAGGCTGCCAGTAGCTCGGATGTGGATCTGTTATTACATCCTGAGCTGTTGTCTCAAGACTTCATGCAGCTCATTTTAACTGAGGTGAGTTACTTCTAGCAGAGAGTCGTGCAAAGTGCCTTTTAATGTGGAAAAAAATCTGAAATACTGTCGTGTCAGCATGCGGGCTAACAGGCTGTAGTATCGGTGAGTGTTGTGGAAGTAGATGACGGTGTTTTAAAATGTCTGAATCAGAAAAGTGTCAGCACCAGAGACTGTGGGAGTCGGGACCGGCTCACGGAGCTCTACCTCCGGCATGTGATCCCGCTGCCGCAGAGGACTCTGCCCAACAGCCGCTGGGGCAGGAGGGTGACGAGGAGCCGAGGACCACCGGCCGCTAACAGGTCAGACCGGAGACAGTCCCCGCACATACAAAGACTATTATCCCTGTGTAGTAATACTGGTAGATACCATGTGATACAAGGTACGGCTCAGAAAGATAGAGCTAGCTAGCTATCAAAGACACTTGATGGATGATAATAAATGTATTCACATACCTCTGCTAAGGCAAACACCATAAGAACAGAAAAGTGGAAATCCTGGATCTGCCTGTTTATTTTGATCTGCTCCCAAATTGAATGGGTTGTTCATTGGGTCATGAGCCACCACAACATTTCATGGAAATCTGTGCAGTAGCTTGTGAGAACTCAAGGTGACAGACAAGCCACAAACAAGCAAGTGGCAATGAAACGTAACCATAACTGGAGCTAACAGCTGATATTACTGCTCCTAACCCAAGTGCTGATCTCATTCCCAATCCTAAACAGCACAGGGGAGCTGGTTGTTGCAGATAGTGTAGATTAAATGTAAGGATGATGCCATGAGATGGCAGGTTTTCGATGCTGCTGTCTTGCACTGGTCTCTGGAGATACTCCGGAGTTTCTCCAGAGGAGGTGCATGAACGCAAAAGACCAAGTGAGACCCTCCCGAGTTTCTGCTGACTTTCTCCACCTGTCCGCCTTGTATAAAGTCCTGAGGAGTCGATGTGAGAACACAGGAGGTCCTCTGCTCGATTCACAGTGAGCAAGTGGGCAGAGTTATTGACTCTTCTAACCCAGACGCAAAAATGAGAAAGAAAAACCAGAAAACAAATATCTCTGGGAAAAAGAGATGCCATACAACTAAGAGACACAGACAAAGATGTCATGAGAATTTTTGGTGACAAAGGGCGACACCGTGTGTGTTGTCAATGTGTTGTAAACAAAAACATGTGATCTCCACAGCGGAATTCATGCATTAAATCCTGCCTCTGCCTGCTGCACACACCCTCACCCGAATCCTGCGGAGGATTTGTTCCTGTTGTGTGTGTGTGAAAGACAAACTGTGGAGAATGTCCAGCCCGAATACTCCGGAGTTCCTCTGCAGGTCATGTCTGAAAACAGCGGGACAGGATTGGATCTGATTATTGTCATTATTATCTGGTCATTGTCTAGTTCCAGTAATGACCACAATAGGAAAAGGCCTCTGATCGTGTTCGATGGCAGTTCATCTCATTCCGGCCCTCTGAAAGTGAAGAAACCAGAGGGAACCACTGCGTCAACAGGAATCACTGACAGGTTAAAACCTCCTCCAGCTGCAAACCTGTCCAACCCCATCCGCAAGCTATCAGGCAACACCTCGTCCTCGTCCATTCATCGCAGCACTGACACAGCAAACCTCAAACGAGAAGCAAACAGCTCGGTAGGAACCTTTTTTTTTTCTCACCCCAGTCATAAACAACATGGAAATTAACTGTGCTGATTGCATACGTTTCTATATTATTTTGTGTTGCTTATATTGATTGTATCTTCATTAGAGCTGGAAATCACATAAGGCTATATAGGGATTGTCTGATGTTTAATATAGACACATATAGACATGACAAAATGGTGCCCCACTGTAATGATTTACTGCTTTGTAATGAGCTTTTAGTTTTTAAAAATGTGCATAACAGAGGCTGAACAAGGAGCCTGAAATGCCAGAGAGAAAAAAATTTGAATTTGCAACTTATATATTTTGATTTTGTTCAAAATAATTTTTTTAAATCAAATTATTACCAATGGATCAATAACACATTGCAGATTCTCCTGCATCAGTTATTTGTCTGACCACTATCTCTAACAACTGTTGATCTTTCGTCTTCCGTCACTTCAGGCTCCACTCAACTCTCCAGAGGTGAAGAAAAAGATCCAGCATGTGACGTGGCCCTGACCTCCGACCCCTCTTCCATCAGACCTGATGAGAGCTCAGGCTCTGGAGGACGACTTGCTCGAGGTTGCTCACTACCTTTGTTTTCTTCCCATCACAGTCTTCTCACTAATCGCATCAGATAGGGAGGTGAAAACCCTTTACCTGTGTCAAGGCCTCCTCCCTGCTCTCTCACTGAGTCCTGAGAGCTGACACGATGGAGCAGTGAAGCTTTCCTCAACCTCAAGTGCCCTTACCCTCAACGATCTGCGACTCCTGAATGCCATTCAGGGGAAATGAAATGTTCTTATTATGTTTCTCTGGATGAGTTGGTTTTGGTTACAGGGCCTTGATTATTGGTTTGCACTGATGTAAAGGTTTGGTGTTTTTTTAAAGGATCAAACGGAGGCTAAACTATTCTCACAGTCTGAGACACAGAGCGACAAAGTGTGCGATAGCCAAGAGGCATTGTGAAGATATTTTGTTGAAGTATTTAAAAGTAAACATTTTGTCCTGCTTTAGTTGGTTGATGTATACATGTGTTAAATAAAACACATAACCTTCACATTGAACATGCAGGGCATTCTAGAAAGTGTGTGTGTGCTTTGATT